TCGACAAGACAACACACACATGACGTACTATCTAATGGTGCTATATTTTGCGTGTATATCATGATGTTGACAAGACAACTTTATGTCAGCTGGTCAGCTTTTTTAGTTCGACAAGACAACACACACATGACGTACTATCTAATGGTGCTATATTTTGCGTGTATATCATGATGTTGACAAGACAACTTTATGTCAGCTAGTCAGTTTTTTCAGTTCGACAAGACAACGCACACATAACGTACTATCTAATGGCGCTATACGTTGCGTTTTAAATATCATGATGTTGACAAGACAACTTTATGTCAACTAGTCAGCTTTTTCAGTTCGACAAGACAAAACATACATAATAAATATACAGATAATTTTATTAAATTATTATTTAAATAGGTAAAATGGGAAAGTACAAATCATAGTTAACAAACATACTTTTATTTCATAAATCTTGCAAAATAGACATAACAACTAATTATTACAACATCAACTCATGGGAAGTTAGGTACACTAAAAGAACACCCACCACGAGCTTGATTAGTTTTGCCACCCAAACCAGCTGAAGGATATTTACGACGGACGTGTCCTGTTTGCGAGCATATACCACATTTGCGTGCATAAACGGTGTCACTAGCATCCATTTGGTTCTGTATACGCGTTCTCTTCTGCACCTGTCTTTTACGCAAACAGGACTTGTTACACACCATTTTAAATGGTTCCGGAGGCCAGTAATGCTCAGCACCCACTGGCTGCAATTGACCACTATATGTGTTTAGGTACTTGGAAATACTATATTGTTGATCAACGTAGTTGGTCTCCGCATAACCAACACGTTGAAAACACTTGATGGCATGTGAGCAAGGCATGTGGTAGATGGACCATTCCCACATGAGCATAACCTTGCTGATTCATTTAGGGTATGTACATTATTACCTCAATTATTATAGATAGCGGTGCGAACTTTTAAAACACCTATTTCGTTATCATACTGCAAAAATGAATGTCAATGTGCTCGCCGTCTGTATTTCTCAAATCTCTGCATCGGCACTGGCATAAATTCAACACCGCTCTCCATCAATTCCGTTGCAGCTGCAGACCGTTCAACAAACCTCTCCGCCATCTGCTTGAACAACATCCGCACCATGGCTATGACGGGCAATCCTCTTGTTGACTTCAATAACCCGTTGAAGGACTCTGACACGTTTGTAGTAAGAATTCCCTATCGTCTGCCACCATCCTCATGCAACGTCCACTTTTCAGGGTCATGTTGCATTACCAACGATAGGCTGCCTCGTCTTCTTGCCTGATAGAATCCATATGCCTCCGAAATTTATGTTGTTGGTGGTCTGTTGCTGCCATCCACATCAAATCATATAGATCCTTGTTGGGATGTGCCTTCTAGAAATTGGCATTAAAGTGCCTCATACAGTAACAATGGTATGCATAAGGTTCTCGTCATGCAGGCAAGTTCTCCACAGAAATTAATATACCACCATGCCGATCAGATATTAGACAAATACCTGAACGCTGTTTGACAACGTGCTCTTTCAGGTGGTTCAAAAACAGCGTCCACGTCTCCGTGCTTTCATTAGCAAAAACAACAAAAGCTAGAGGAAATATATGTCCATTAGCATCTACTGCCACGACTATCAATAACTTGATATCGTACTTTCCATAGACATGAGTTCCGTCTATGGATATTACGGGCCGACAATGCGAAAAACCATCAATTGCTGGCTTAAAGGCCCATAACACGTAATTGAATATGTATTCTGGTGTTCCCGAACTCTGCTCCAGCTTCCATTCAACAACTTTCCCGGGGTTAAAGTGCTGCAGTGCGACTATGTACTTTGGCAGAGATGCAAATGACTTATCCCAATTACCGTACACAATTTCAAACGCTCGTTTGCGCCCGAGAATTGCCTTTCTTTTCGTAATGGTATGGCCATATTCCTGGTGGACTGATGTAATGCCCTCTTTGATTGTATACCTTATGGACGCTTCGAGGTGCAGAATAAGTACAAGAGAAATCAAGTCAATATCCAAGTTGAAGTGATTCCCGTTGAATGTGTCCATTTCGCATGTGTGTGTGGGAATGTATTTACCCACTTTCCACATACCTGTCTTTTTCTTGGTCACACGCAACATCCAATTACATGGCCAAAACCACCTGCGACAAACAACCTTGTATACCATCGGACTTGACTCCCATACCTGCATCTCACGATACTCTTTTACGTTGTTCATTTTACAAGCCCTGCTTAAGCGCGTTTTATCGGGAAAAAATATCCCCTTTGCAAGCACCGTTGGTCTAGACTCATCCCATATTGTTGTTCGGATTTCATCAAAATCCCTTGTGAGAGCTTCCACATCCGGCACGGTTGGCAAGTTATCAATGTAAGGAATCTCCCTTGAATGAAACGGCACTTCGGACTCGTACACTCTTCGTCTAGGTGGGTCTCTCTTCAAATCAGGTCCTTCCTCCTCATCTTGTTCATCAACATCCTCACGAAAAAAGGGTGTCTCGTCTCCGGATTCATTGGCATTGTTATCGTAATCACTGTTCTGTTCCTCACTCTGTGCATCTGCCAGATCCCGATATAATACGTCGTTTTCGGTCAATTGAGTGAGTACGGGTGGTTCAACTTGCTCGTTTTCACTGCACAACTAACAAAAATATAAGCTACTGAATTAATAAATGCTTTCCATATGGCTATATCACTTCACTTACAAGTCGTAATGTGATGAAATTCCATGATGGACGTTTTCAATTAGGTGATGACTACCGGATGGGCCACTTGTAAAATTCATATTCGGCTGGTACCCCCTATTAAACATATGAGTGTTAATACAAATTCAATACGCCAAAAATATACATAATTAACACAAATGAAAATTGAAGTTTACCACTCGTCTTGTGAATTATAGAAAGTAGGGTATAAATTATTTTCTCGCTGCTCATTCGCCGGCGGTGATAAGTTTAAATCAAGGAAAACTCTTTCATCCACGACCTGTCTGGCAAAACTGCTACAGAATAACCACCCGATGACTGGGGGTTATCTCTACTATGCACAACCTCATTTTTTGGAACAACTTCAACCTTCACGTACATCTCCAACATTGTGATTACAAGAAATTCCCGGCATTCATCCGGAGTCCTCAGAAAATCACTCAAAGTTTCATCATCGTCGATGTTAAACTCCGAGTAAAAAGCAACCCCTTGCGGAGTGACGGAATACGGATATCTTCCAGTTACTTTAAGTATCACTGAACGTTTCCTCACACTCATTTTTTTGCATAACAACGATATCAATTTATCGTACTTTATTGTAAGTGGCAATTTAACATGACACTGAGCAGGTAAACTGTAGCCCACAGAGTTATTTTCCATCACAACCTCACCCCCAATGTAATGAAACTTTTATTCTACGCTCTTTAGACATAATGAAAAAATGTTGGAGAATTTAACAACAATAAACGTTTAACAAGAGTTAAAATTTTTTTTGAATGAATTTCTATACAATCCTAACCTCTTTATATAGGAAATGGCTAGCCGGGATTTTTATATATATATATATATATATATAGAGCGCCCAAAAAGTTAGCACTATATGCTTTTGAATTATTGAAGTCAGGAATTGTTGGTGGGGCCAGGAAAAAGGAGTATAACGCCACAATACCTGGCGCTATATATAAAATCTATGTATAGCGCCAGGTATTGTGGCGCTATACCTGGGCGTGTCAGATTTTACAGTATAGCGCCACAATACCTGGCGCTATACATAGATTTTATATATAGCGCCAGGTATTGTGGCGCTATACCTGGGCGTGTCAGATTTTACAGTATAGCGCCACAATACCTGGCGCTATACATTAACGGTGCCGTTACTGTTAATATATAGCGTCAAGTATTGTGGCGCTATATATAAAAATGTAACTGTTTTTTCTATCCACCTATTTATATATTTTGAGTCCAAAAGAACCACAATTGGGTTCCGGACTCTTAGTTCAAAACATCTGACGGCTCAATCCCCTACTTCTAGTAACTTGGGTGTGCTTGTGCGCCCACAATAGGTTCGACATAGGAACCGGTCATGTTTTGCTATTTTGGGTACATGTGTTGCAAAGTTGTCCAGTCTCATAACAGAAACAACTGCTAGCCCATGGGCCTTATCGCTGAGTAAGGTTCCCCAGTATGGGGTTGCTAGAGCCTAGATGATTAATGTTCTTATTTTTAATCTTTAGTTGGTTACTCTTTGTTTATTGTGTTTTTTCACTGTTTTAAAGCTGAGGGTCTATCGGAAAAAACCTCTCTTCCTTCATAAGGTAGGGGTTAAATCTACGTACATATTACCCTCCCCAGACCTCGCTGTGTGTGATTAGACTGGGTTTGTTGTTGTTGTTGTTGTTGTTGTTATATTTTTAAGTTTTAATAGCATGTTTGACCAAGTACTTTAGTGAGAAGCAGCATGTATTTAGCTAATTAATTTGAAAAGCACTTCTGAGCAACCATTAGTGTTTGGTCAAACTTAAAAAATTAGCTTATTTTGAGAAGTGTTTTTGCTCAAAAATATTTTTTTCAAAAGTACTTTGATGAAAAACAGTATCTGTTTGGCTAATTAATTTGAAAGTCATTTCTAAGTAGTAATTAGTGTTTGTCCAAACTTTTAAACAATGCTTCTAAGTGTATTTTTTTAAAAAAAGTACTATTAGGAAAATACTATTTTTTCTGGAAGCTACTTTTATTTTTGCTCAAAATCACTATATTTTTCTTCTAAAAGCTTGGTCAAACACTTCAATTTTTTTTTAAAAAAAAACTTTTTTTTTTTATGCTTTTGGTTTTGGAGAAAGCTTGGCCAAACATGCTATAAAAAATTTGTACTATATCAATAAAAAAATATGTATCACTTCTAGTCTAGTGTTAAAAGAAGCTAAATTTTGAATAATGAAATGAAATAGATTCAAATGGGTGTACAACGAAGATGATTCGTATAACCAACCCAACTATATACCCAACCATCTTCAAATTGAAGCATAGTTATAATTGTTGCGTCAGTAAGATACAGAAATTGTTGCGTCAGTAAGATACAGAGTAACGGTCTGGACCGCTGAACATAGAGATATCGGAAATACATTATCCAGCATTAATAGCAAGTTACAGAATTTTATTTAACAAACACTATATACAACACTAGTTGATTTGTCTAATCTACAAAGATTATTGCCGCTACCCCAAAGATTTTAACAAACTAGCAAGTTGTTGGATGGATGGATCCCCAACTTATTTGAGCAGATCCTGTTCTAAAGCTAGCTTCCATTTGCTATTTATATCATCATCAGCTAATATAACCAGTGAACTACCTTACTATAATTCTTCCAACTCAGAGACAGTTAAAACTGTTAATGCTTCTTCGATGTGTAGCTTTCTTCGGTCTTGGCAAACCTTCCACGGATCCTTGGTTGACTATCAGCCAATGCCTTCCTGCAAGCATACTGCAAAACACACAACAGAAATATTGTTAGTCTATTGCCGACAGAAGAGCTGCACGAGTCAATTCGCCTTTGCTGTTCTACAACCAAATGTTTCACTACATGCACACTACTACAGAGAGAAGCTCTAGAAGTCCGTCTTCTTACGGAATATTTTATGAATAATTGGTTCGTTTCCATTCGATTTCACTTTCTAAGGTTTGGAAGTGCAACACCGAGCTAAATGACATAAACATATAAGAGTTTTTCAATAATACCTTGATTTTTCTGCCAAAATTCCTTTTATTCTTCTTGCTCCGGTATCTGGAGAGCTTTTCCTTGCGAATTTCAGAAGTGGAGCATCCGACAATCTGTGGTTGACCCAGTGGAGAATGGATCAGATTTATGTTGCCATTACCCAGAGTCTGCAGTAAAAACTCAGTATCAGTGACCGAGCCTCTTTCTCTTGAATAAGCCAAAAACATCTATACATTTCTCGGCTGGTACTTCATAGCGAACCAACAAATGCAGGCGACTCAATCAAAGGGTACTAAGCAGTGACAGCTATGGCTCTCAGCCACTTGCTACAAATAGAGAGGAGGTGGATAATACTTTCCTCATCCCGAGACTTTGCACATCCCCCCAGCTTACAATACGTCTAGAATGACGGAGAAGAAAATTATATAGAGGAAGTGATAAAGGAGAAAATAGTGATAACCAGATAACAGCATCAACAAACGGTGGAGTTCACTAGTTTGAATTAAAAGGCCTCTGATTAACCAGTTCACTTGGTCAAAGGATCCATTATTTTTTTCAGAATCTCATTGAATTCAATACCTTCTTTATAAAATTACTGGAGGAAGCTTCATATTACTAAAACATGGATCTTCCAACTATCTTGTTCGTACTCTCAAAATTCAATAAATGACTCTAGATCATAACATCTATATTTTCCTAACGTAAAAGATTGATTGTAAGATCTTTCCTTCACCTTTGACTCGACGTTAACAAGGAAACATAGATATCAGGCCAACCGAGCAAGAAAGAAAAGGGATATTCATTGTTTACAGAATAAAGAATATTATTTCCAATTTATCAGAAAAAGATAAAATGAAAGACAAACCAATCATAATTGAAACAACACATTAGAGTACTTAAAAATTGACCTTTATGTCTCCTTCACTGTATGCTCTTCGCATACCATAAACAGCTCCAAAGTCCATTCCACCAAAATCTATAAAATTGGGCCTCATTGAAGCCCCGTGTATCCAATCCATGGAGGTTAAAGACCCTGAACTAATACTTTTCTGGAAAGATACTTGAGAAACCAAGTTCTCATCTGCAGTCAGGTTTTCGTCGGCCTTCACAATAGGAATTTTCATGTCCAAGACTTCAGAGAACGGTATATCAATTGCATCTTTGTCAAATAGGTCTTTTTTGCATTCATAGAAAACTTCACTCAGGAGTTGTTCATTCTCAAACGAAGTTTCTAGATCCGAAACTTTGAGTCCTTGCGGCGAGATGGCATCTTCTGCACAAGAAATCATTGAAATAGCAGCAGTCATAGGATCAAGGCCCATCAATGGTTCTTCAATAATTGGTTGTGGAGCTTTAAAGAGATCCCCTTCTCCCCCGAGGTCATATTCCGATATGTTGGATCCCTGTCGAGATTACTCACATGAGAATTCAAAATCGAAACTTTACAGAACTTCACAAAGAAAACACTTCAAGATTATCAAAGAAAGATCTGGTCTGAACACGTAAATTTAGCACAGAACCAAGATAAAAGGCATAGATCTGTCAAATCAACACAACGTTAAATGACATACGTTGATGCTTCATGGTGAGGAGTTTAACTAAAATACACTGAGCAATAGCAATAAAGTAGACCAGAAAGTGAAAATCATTACTCATATGCTATCAGACTTTCAAGATAACTCAAACCTGACATATGTTAATACCATACACCATCACTTTATAGCAAATCAAAGGGACTCAATATTTATGTCATGGCAGAAGCACAAAAATAAACCACATGAGCTTTCATATCTCGTCAATCATACGGTACCAGGGAGATTTGCTCAAAGCTCACCATCACAAACTTCTGATAAAATAAAGTGCAAAGATTCTTGTCTTATTAAAAGAAAAAACAACACAAAAGGATTCTTGTGACGAACAGCGATAGATAATGGCAGGCCTTGTTTAATCTCTGTTATGTATATAAAGTAAATAAGAGGTGGAGGAGAAGAACCAAACAGCTTTCTAAGTAATTCAGCATGCACACACCCCGAGAAAGAAAAAAGGGAAAGATTGAGAGGGATAGAGAGCACATTCATACAGATAGTGGAAACTAGATAATGTCCATTAAGTTAAACAAACCTGGAAAAGAACAACACCAACAACTAATGACCAGAGAATCAGCAATTGTCATTTGTGCATTTCAAGCAAAGATAAGATCAGACCGAATCAACCATGAATTCGATATATTTCCATGTAAAAAGAACTTATTTTAATAGTGTGCCGAGACCAACTAGGTTCTCTTACTACCTTCTGAAAGTTACTAACTTTAACCTTTAAGCTCCCAAATGAAAGTTTCCGCAATGTTATCCTCCCTCTTCAGAGAATCATGACACCAACCAAACAGAACTCCCTATCCTCTAAATAACAAAGGTGAAACTTAACTTTTGCTTTTCTCTTTTTCCTTCTTTTCCAACTTTTTCAATATTTCAACTCTTTAAGTGGGGTGAAAAGTGAGGCCTTAACGACAACTTGGCCGCCAAAAAAGGAAAATGAAGAATCAGAAAGGGAAACACATGGGAAGTAACTCGTGGCCACTTATGTTTTTTTTTAATATGAAGATAGAGAGAATAATGAACACGGCAACTCATGATTTTGATATTCTGCCTTCTTTCTCTTTGTTCAACATACAGATCTAGCACAAGTCATGAACTCACATTCTTTCCATTTATACTCTATATACCACCATAAGACATCATATTATATATTTCTAAGCAACAATTCAACTTTTCTGTTTGGAGAGGAGAGTTACACTCAACTATTTACTAAAGACAATCAATTGGAAAAGGGTAAGAAATTAACATAAAAAGACTGGTTCTTTGTCCTTCATTTCTCCAATTACTTAGAAAAAATAACTTAAAAAGGGAAGAAAAATTGGTTCTTTATCCTTCATTTTACAAATTACTAGTAAAAAAATTGGAACATAGAAAGAAAGCTTAAACCCCACAAAAGAATAAGATGCAGTAGAAGGGATTCGGACTCTAAAAACCATGATTTCACCTAAAAAAAACTTCAGACTTGACACAAGACATAAAATCAGTAACCCTAATTTTACACTCCACTTGAAAAGCCAAGAATGAAAACCCACTAACCCTAAAGTCTACATCATCTCTCACATTTCAAAGTTCAAATCTTTTTCCAATTTTAATTCAATCAGAAAAATGCCAAACAACAAAAAACAAATAGAAAAAGGGCTTTAACTACCATTGACGCATTAGGTTCGTGAGAGGAACAGAAGTCTTCAAATTGTTGAACTTCAGAAGGGAAAGTCTGAAAATAAGGGAACATTAGCCCTGTCTCTGCATACATTTTTTTTTTCTCTTTTACACAACAAGTCGCCCCTCTTCTTCCTATGTGTCAATAGAATGAGGAAGGAGATAGTTCAATGAAGCAGAGGGGCATTTTATAGGTGTCAAAAACAGAGCTAAAAACAAAAGTAGTACTCACACAGCAGAAAGAGAAACAGCCGTATTGAAAGAGAGAGAAGAGAGAGTGTAAAAAGAGGGGTTGAAAAAAGAAAGAATCTGATTTTGGCTGGTTCTTGGAGTGTTCACTCAAGAAAGAGAATTTTAGCAATTAAAATAGTAATAGTTTTATTTTTCTAAGGAATTTTTAATGATGTAATAATACTAAAAGCTACTCCCTCCATTTCAATTCACGTGAACATATTTAATTGGGCACGGAGTTTAAAAAAGAAAAAGAGTTTTTGAATTTGTGGTCCTAAACAAGTCAAACAAGAATCCAAAATATTTGTATAGTTATAAAAACTTTTCATTAAAAGTAAAATTGAAAATTTAAGTTAAATTATTTCCAAATTAAAAAGGGATCATTATTTTTAGAATGAGCCAAAAAAATAGGTTCGGAACGAGGGATTAGTACCTATAAAAAGTCATTTTCTAGGTTTAAGTTCAAGTTGATGAATAAATATAAGAGAATTGACAGATTAAATAGGTAGGTTAATCTATGGCAAGTCTATACAAATTAGCTACCACGTGACTTGATTTCCCCAATGACCCACATGACAAATCTTTTATTGTAGAGAGTACTATTTACCATTATACTAATTACTGTACTATAAATATCGTATCGTATATATACAGACAAAATACATGTGAATGAAACTAGGACGACAGAAGAATAAATGCTAGTTACCGAACAATTTATTAGCTATTATAATAGATTGGTAATTTAGATTAGTTTATTTACAAATTGTTTCTTTGAGATTTCTGGCCATAGCATTTAGCTAGCGTTTAGTCACAAATTTAGTTGTAAGATGAAAAAATAATTTTTGAAGTAATTTTGAAAAATAAATTTTGTAAATTGAAATTATATTTGGACATGCATTTTATTAAAAAAAAAATTGAAATTTTGTGAGTGGAAGAAAAAAATTCATCCAAAAATTACCCTAAACTAGATTTTAGGAATTTGAAAAAAAAATTAAATTTTTTTCAAAAACTGGTCATAATGTATGAACAAACAATGTTTTAAAAAAAACCTAAAAAAAAGTTGCTAACATTTATGGCCAAACGAGAGCTTATTTTCTTGAGGTTTTCATTATCTACAACAACAGCAAAAAAAACAGTAAAAATCTCGTTGATGAGGTCTGAAAAGCTTAGTGTGTATTTCCAATATAACCTCAACATAAAAAAAAAAAATCCAAAAGGAAATAGTAATAACGCAAGCAGTAACTACAAAAAAGCAGTATTTGAGTAACAAACCCTGCTTTGTGATGGTGTTTGAGTGACAAACTCGTAGTAATGCAGCTAGCATACCTTCAGCATACTACATAGTACTTTGTTTCAATGTACATGGCGGATTTCGGGATAAGGAGTTTTAAAAAATAAAGGATTTTTTTTTAAATATTCAAAAGTATTCCTGAGACTTGCAGTCTTAGACATAGTAGTATACAATTATAATTATAAGAGCATGCGAAAATAATAATTTAGAGTTTGTTTACCCTAAAATTGGGTAACAATTAAATTTATAGGTAGTTTAAAAGATACATGGTTTAACTCAACATGAATAATGAATAGTAATAGATAAATGAATTAAAGATGAAATAAACGATCAAACCGCCGACAATATTAAGACCGGGACTGGTCTTAGATTGAATAGTGAGCTCGTCCTAGATTGAACCCTAGGTTCAAGCCCAGTCGCGAATAAAGAACAGAACAAGTGAGTAATGCCGTTAAAAGACGAAGACCGAATGTGTGAAGCGACTATCCCGAAGAGAGACCCTCGAGGAGATTCACGTCTGAGGTTTTGACCTGTCGCCCGAGATCGAAGAAGCCAAGAAACTCGAGGCCGAGGCAAAGGAACCCTATGAGCTTGCAGGTCCCCAGGGCTTTGAGGGTTCCAACGGTTCTGGTGATGAGTAGAGCCCCGGTGAAGACTTGGCATAGATGCCTTATTTTTTATTTTTTTAGTTTTCCCTTGTATATTTTCTTTTTGTTTATTTCGGAGCCGTTTTATCGTGCCTTTGTAAATATTTTTTGAAACATAAAAAAAATTCCCCCTTTGGCAATATTGTGCCTTTACCTTTCAACATCTATTTGCAATTTTTTATTCGCGGATCGTTTTTAGTGTATTAGCATAAAATCAAATGTTGTCTAGAGCATCCTTTGTTCGGAGGCCCGATTTCGATAGCAACTCCGGATTACTCGTGGCTTTGAGTCTTCAATAAAACCGAAGGCCTCTAAGATGCTTGAGTGTTTTAGTCATATATGACGATATTTTTGCCGAGGGTAACCTTTTAATAGGTTTTGATTATACGTAAGGGACTTACTTTCTGGGTACAGACTTCGGACGTCTCCGAGCTATTTTTAGGATGGTCGTAGCCTTTGGTATTCAGGAACACTCTAAATAGGCTTTGGTGCCTCCGAGATACGATAGCTCGGGCCGTCCGAATTTTTTATCGGACGATAGTCCCCGAGCAGGTGTATCCCGTGAGCTTTAGGATCTAGTATCGAAGAAGCAAAATGCGTAGTACTAAAGTATAAGGTATGCCGAGATTTCTTCCATTGCTTTATATGTAGAGTACATGATCGGAGGCCCATAGGTTTTGTGTCGTGGCTAGAGTGGGCTATATGGGCACGTTTCGTATGACGGTTTGACCCGTACAAATGAATCCTAATCACCAGCTCCTTTTGACATATAAAATTTTCCCTTTCTAAGAATCTTAACCTAGGGGTGATGGCCCCCGATATTTGAGACCAATATTTTGAGGGCTCGACTACCGTTGATTCAGTGTGAATGATCATCAATTCCGATTTAAGGCCGGTCTTCAAAACTAAGATAGCACGTTTTATTATTTCCATGTTAAAAACCATGCCGAAAAACCCGCTTCGGGACAAAATCGATTCAAGGGAAAAAGAGTACAACACATGCTTTCCGATTTAATAGTCATATTCACCCATGACTGAGTACCTACATACATTAGTCCGTAATGTAACTAAATTAAAAAGGAGTTAAGTTCGTACCTTAGCCTTAGTACCACTTTAAGTGTGCCATGTTCCAGTTGTTTGGTAGTTATACATCGTTTCCTGATTCGAGTTTATACAAAACTTTGTCGGTTATTCTGATGACTTGATACATTCCTTCCAATTCGTTTTAGTTTCCCTTCGTTTGGGTTCCTAGTGTGTAGTGTTACATTCCTCAATACCAAGTACCCTACTTGAAAATATCGGAGGTTGACTCTTCAGTTGTAGTATCTCCCTATTCGTTGCTTTTGGGCGGTCAACTGGACCAGGCAAGCCTCCCGGCTTTCGTCCAATAGTTCCAGGCTCGTGGTCATGGCCTCGCTGTTTGACTCTTCGGTAGCATACTTGTCACGACCCTAAATTCGAACCCGGTCGTGATAGTGCCTCTCGTGAAGACAAGGCCAACCGACACTTTCCATTTCAGTTTTTGAGCATTCAAACAATATGAATCTAAGTCTAAAACATGATAATTAATCTAAAAGTGAACAGTTAATAGTACAGTTGCGGAAGATAAACCCAACACAGCCCGATACCGGGGTGTCACTAACCATGAGCATCTAAAAAACCGGAATAAGACAAGAAAGTCTACAGATTTCAGTACAAATCTAAAACAAAGAGAAATAAGATACGGGAAGAAGCTCTGGGCTGCGAATGCCGGCAGCTACCTAGAGAATCTTCGTATCTACCTGAGCTGGAAAGATCAACACTCGGTAACGGGACCAGATACGCCTGAATCTGCACACATGGTAGAGTAAAGTGAGTACTCCAACTCAGTGAGTAATAATCATAAATAAAGACTGAAAGTAAGAAATCACGTAAGGCACATTATAGACTATACAGAAGCAGTAAAAGCAGTGAAGCAATGATAATGTGTGAAGTCATTTCAATTCAGTTCAAACTTTATGAAACACCTTTTTAGCAATTAAGTAGGTAAATGACCGACAAATAAGATAGATAAGCACATAAAGGGTTTTCTCTCGGGCACAATGTCAACAATACCAGCCCCAGGGTTATATCTCACATCACAATGGGTATCCGCGCTCACTGGGGGTGTGCAAACTCCTGGAGGGGCCCCTTTCAGCCCAAACGCAATATCAAGCCATCTCGTGGCATAATCACTAGGCTCTCGGCCTCATATCAACAAGCTACCTCGTGGCGTACATATCTCAGGCCCTCGGCCTCATAATCATAATAAAATATTTCCTCACAACATAGGCCCTCGGCCTTACTCAGTCAAAATCCTCACAAGCCACTCAAGCAATAATAAAACATGATTCTCATCCCAAAATATCATTTAAAAGATCATCTAAGTGTTAAAACAGAGTAAACATGACTGAGTTATGAAAACAGTGGAATATAGTATGATTGAGCTCAAGTATAAAGTTAAAACAGTGAGGAAACATCAATAAAAATTCCCTAAGGGTTCAAATAGTTGGCACAAGGCCCAAATATGGCGTTTAGCCCAAAACACGATATTCACAAATAGATTTTAGTCAAATACGTGGTAAAATAGTCATTCGGGACGGACTAAGTCACAATCCCCAATAGTGCACGACCCTACGATCGTCATCTTGCATGTGCGTTACCTCAATATAGCACAACGATGTGCATCCGGGATTTCATACCCTTAGGACATCATTTACAATTATTATTCATCTCAATCCGGTCCAAACTCTAGCTCACGACGCCTTTGCCCCTCGAATCGGCCTCCACTCGCATCGAATCTATCCAAAATCAGAATCACGGTGTCAAAATATGCTAAGGGAAAGAAGCCCAAGCGAAAATAATCAATTTACAACATAAATCCCAAAATTACCAAAACTCGATCCCTGGTCCCACATCTCGAAATTCGATAATTTTTACATCAATAGATTCATTATCTCCCCACGAGTTCATACATATCAAAAGTTCTGAAATCCGACCTCAAATGGTCCTTCAAATCCTCAATCAAAGGTCTAAGTTTCCCCAAACTTTGATCCTTAAATTCCATTAATTACAAGCCTAATCCGTGAAATAATACCATAGAAACGATTTATAGGTCCAAAATCCTT